CGATGGGTCGCCGCCCGTGTCGTATCGTCCCCCTCGCTGGGGCCCGTGGCCTGACGCGCCTCTCGCCGTGCGCAGATGCGAGACGTCGGGCAGCTGGCGGAGATCTTCCAGTGGAGGGGCGAGGTGGGAAAGGGCCTGCCAGGTGGGTGCGGCGCGCGCCATGGAGGCGCGCTTGGCTCGTGCGGGAGCCCCTGCTGGTGCCCGACGGCAGAGCGGGCCCTGACGCGGCTTGTGGCTGCTTGCAGGTTTCACGCCAGAGGACAAGAACCGCGTGTCGGAAGAGTTGGCTGACGTAAGCGGTTCTTTGGGTGCGCTGTTGCGCTGTCCCATTGCAGGGCAATGGGTGGGGTGGCTCTGGCTGGAAAAGCCCTGGAGGCGGCATGTTTGGGGTTCATGCTGTGTGTTCTGGGCCTCCCTGTGATGCAACCAAGTATTCTTCTGGGCAGTCGGCTTGGTTCTGATGATGCTCTTGTGCTGCTTTTAGATCCTCCTCTATGCAATTCGGCTGGCGGATGTCAGTGGCATCGACCTGGGCCACGCAGCGTGAGTGTGCATTGCCAGTACAACAGTCCATCTGGTGGTTTGGGGCATGCAGCATGTGTGTGCATTGGTAGTGCATTAGTCCATCCAGTGGTTTGGCCATCTATCTGCAAAGTCGCAGCTGGGCTGCACACCACTGGATTTGTGCGAGTGGGTTGAGATGAGCACACCAGGGAAACACCATTGTCTTTGCATGTGCCAGAAAGCACAAGGCATGTTGTGCCAGAATGAGATTCTGACAAGGAGACTATGCCGGAATGAGATCCTGACAAGGAGGCTGTGCACGTTCTGACAGTTACAATAAGCTGCACGTGAACTCCCAGAAGTATCCACCTCAGGAGTACATCAGGTACTGCACTGACTGCTGCGTGTGTGGTGAAAACAAAGACACACAGGGGTAGGAATGCCTGCGCCCAACTGGAGCAGCCGATGGTCAATGCAATGCCAAGAATGATGTTTTTTTGTATTTCAATCCCCTGTGCTGTCGTATTTTGATCAGGATGAAGATGTTAAGAAAGTGCAGTTTTGCTGTACCTGAAGTATCACTTTACTTGTGCGATGTTTTTCAATATGAGGAAGCTACTGATATCATAAGAATTGGGAGATAATGGAACAACGCATGGACGTGTGGCAAGACTTGTGAATCGAAGCTCAGTAACTCATGGCTGCCTCCCGCCAGCAGACCTTGCGGAGGCCTAAGTGCAAGCAGATGCGATGGCGGGGTTAACAGCAGAAATGGGTGGAAGCAGAAATGGGCGGAACTTGCTATGAGGACAGCAACTTGGGAATGTGTGTGAAAACCTGAATTTGTGCATAGCTTTGTGGAGGAGTGAAGCATGGACAGTGTGCAAGTCGCAGCCCCTCTGGTGCAAGCTGTGTGAGTAACAGGCTGGTAGCAGGGTGGCTGTAATTCTGTGGCAGGGGTGCAGTTGTACCAATGTATGGGATGTTGTTGACTGTGCTGTGTGTTTATGTCTGTGCCCTGGTGCTGTCAGTCTCAAGCCATAGCCTGTCTTGTGTCACAGGCCCCCAGGAACCAAGTACACCAACTACTCTCATGGAAGGTGATTTAACAGTCTGCCTCCCAAATCGGTGTTTTCCTCCCATCGGCTGCACTTGTGACCTTGTAATGTGGACTGATTGTTGCTATGCGTGGTGCAGTGTCGATGTAGCCTGTTCACAGGAATCTTGTGCTGTGGCAGTTTTCAGGTGTTGATTTATAGGATTGTTCCCACGATGCATGGCTGAACTTCCTGTATCATTGGCTTGTGGGAAGCTGATAAACTATTGCCCACACACGTTGAAGACCACAAGGGGCATCCATGCCTCTTTGTTGTCCCGGAATTTCACTCGTGCTGTGTATCTGTGGGTGAATGCGACTGATGATTAATGCACTAATAATTCCCACAGAATAAGACTCAATTGCCACCTGTTTCACCCAATGAGAAGATTGGGGCTTGAAAACAACAGTGCATTGCTTTCTACTGTTGGACAGTGGGCAGGACAAATTGTGCAGTGCCAGCAATATACAAATTAGTGACAACGTTATTTAGTGAAAACGGCAATTGGAAGGGTCCATAACATGGGACATGACGGGCACATTGTGTGACTCAATGCGCGACAACATGTTTGTTGTCTGTTCCGTGCGCCTAGAGAGCACATTGCACTGACAGGAGCCACACATACTGGCATGCCCTCACACCATTTTGAAGCGTTGTGGAATGGGCAAATGGTGAAGGTGGAAAATGGCTGCAGAAAGCAGAACATATTGGAACTGTTTTCAACATTACTGCAAGAGAACAATGTACTTTTGCCAAAAATGTGCACACTTAGTCCAGTTTCATTTGCAATTGGGCTTGGATGTTAGGCATGCCAGTCTGCCTTTCAACAGTTGGTCTGAAAACAACAATGTAGCAACAATAAAGAAGTGTTCAAGTGTGCTGCTATTGGGTTGGGCAACGAACTGTGGCACTCCTGACCCCCAAAGGCTGTCCGCCTCCCTTGAAAGCCAAGTTACAATACTTCTGGGGGTTGCTGTGTTGCATGCTGCATCAGTGTGTGTGGCAAAGCGTGCTGTGCTTGTTTGCTGTGTCGATACATATGTTCAGGGCGTCGGTACTGTTCATTTGGCTTTGTAATTGCTGGTGTGTGGTTTTGTCCGCATTGTCTGCTGTGACAGGGACATGCAAGTGTTGCTGCACATGTGTTTGTGACATACAGACTGTTTGGGGAGGCAGATTAGACATCAGGTCCCCAATTCATCATCAGTGTCAATGAAAGCAATGCTGTGGCTCAAATGCATTGCACACACAGGGATGCCAGTGGCAAGTCTAGATTATGGGACTGATACCATTATGCTGGCCAGTATCAGCATTTTGCCTGTTGCAAGCATTCACTGGCACAGCCCTTGTCTTCTTCAGCCCCCAGTGTCTGCTGTAAACTGAATGCTTATCCACCCGAATCCCTGTGTTTGTGGCATGTATCTGCAATGCCATGTGACGCCATCTGTTGCATATCCAGCCAGATGACCAGACAAGGCTTCAGGATTATGGTTCAGGTTCTTGGTGCTGTTATATGTCAAGGAAGGGTCACGGCCATGCAAGCAGGCAGGGAACAGCAGCCGCTGAAGTTCCAAGGGAGGGATCTGCTTTGCAGATCATTAGCATCTTGTTGAGCAACGATGTTTGGTGAGCATTGGCCATTTTCCTTGGCATGTGTCTGTGCACCTGCCGGTTACAATGGCAGGTGTTGTGTGCTGCCGTCAGGGCCTTCGAGACACCTCAGAGGCACAAGTCAGAGGAGGAGGTTGGCCGGAAACGCCAACGGGAGCGGTTTAGTGAAGAACAAGTGGCTGCCATGACACAACTGGCAGAGAGGGCGGGTTGGTCAATAACGGCCATCTCCTGGGAAGACCGGGTGAAGTTTTGTGATGAGTACACTGTCACTAAGGTAACAATATTTAATGTCGTTGTCTCTTTGAACAAGAGGATTTGCATCTGTTTGGCAACCTCTGTGGTCGTCGGCTTGCAAATGGCCTGTTGCTGGGATTCTGACGTGGCTGCAGGAGCTGTCAACTCGTTGCAGTGTGCTAACTGTGGGAACACATGTGCACAGGAGCGCCTGAGCAATTTCTTCAACAATCGCAAGCCCAAGGACTTGAAGAAGGGGCGCACGCGCAGCTACGATCGCACAGCTGGACAGACCCCGGCACCACACCACACGCCCACCATGGAGATGCAAGACATGCAGCCGCGCGATCACCTGGCACCCGTCCCAAATGAGGCTGAAGGTGTACCAATGGTGACTCAGCCATTTGAGGTGGGGCCTTTCCTGGGAAGCCAGCGGGCAGGGCGTGTGCTTGACAGTTGCGATGGGGCCACTGTTGATGCCCTTCATATTTCAGCTTACAGCCTGTAAAGTGTTGCATCCAAGTGTGTAAGTGCAAATGCCATCTCTGTGCCTTGCATTGGAGGTTATGAATTACAGAGGCAGAAGTGAGCTGGGTTGGAATCTGCCTGCGATGGAACGGTTTTGAGCAGCCACTATTTGGCAGGGAATCCCTGTGCACTCACGGAGGGCGTTGAAATTGAAACGGCGGATGATGCACACAGGTGAAAGTGGATGTTGTTGATGGGACGACGGGGTCCATACACATGCAGCCACCTGCAAACGATGCTCAAGCACAAGTTGCACAATCGATGAGCCCACCTGCTACGGCATGAATTTGTTGGAACACCATCGATTCGTTCAAACAATGTTGATCTGGTGCTGCTCTTTGCACCTGACACACCCAGCAGAGTAATGCATGTCTTCTGGCTTCACACAGCTTGTTTCTATTGTGTGCATCCTCGATTCAGCATTGCTTCAGGTTCCTGAGTCGCACAGGAAGGGCTGGACAGTGTCAGAGGGAAAGGGATCAAAGCATCACATTGCATGCTGCCATGTAGCAGTCTTTGTCCAGGGCAAAGGGTGTTTACATTGTAGAAAGGACAGACTTTTGCATTGCGTTATTGAGAAGATGAACTACTTGGTTGCAGCGGAGGCACAGACTGTCTCCGTGGTTTTCATATTCACTGTTCGTCTTGGTATTGAGACTGGAGCAAGCGACAGGGAATGGGTACTATTGGGGCCGTCTGCAGGAGCGGAGCAGACAGCTATGGTATGCGCTGTGGGTCGACTGGCAGAGGAGCCCAGGGCGCGACTGGGACAGGCAGAAGATGCAAGAGAGTGTACAACTGCTCTGCTGTCAGGCCTGGGAGGGCGACGCTGCTGAAGATACAGGCACGCACCGCCACCAAGAACTGGCGATCTTTTTGAAACGATGCTATGTTGTTGAGCGACTGGGCGCAGAGAAAGAAGGCTTGTTGGGGCAGTTTTCTTTCCTGTATTGTCGTACAAATTCATGCATGCAGCTGCGCCATGGGCTGGTGGATGGGTCTTGGGGGTTGACAGTGGGATCACACACCGCGCCCTGAATAAGACTACGCTTAAGAGAGCAGGGGATCGGGGCATGAGGGGGCTCAACTGCTGGTGCGCTCTTCATCTGCCAATATATATCAATGTTGTTTGTTTCAGGCTTGTTTTTCTTGTAGGTTGGACGGTCATTTAACTGTGAGTTTGAGTGTGAAATAGAGGTTGTGGCACAACCTCCTCGTTGTGCAGGAGCATTGGTGATACTCATTGTGCTTAGAACTTGAGCCACTGCCATTGCCGTGGTCGTTATGGCCAATGCTTCAACCACCCAACCTTCTGTGCGACAACGTGGAGATCAACATTAGCCCCCGCTGGCTCTCCATGCATTGAACAATGTACTAACCTGTTCCCAATCGTCCAATACACCCCTTCGCCCAGTGGCAAACGCGCCCCCGTGGGGACAAAGACACGGTCGACACTTGGGACAAGCGTTCACGTCGAGAAAGCGGTGCTCTCTTGTGCTGATGTGCAAAGAGTACGTTTGGTACTGCGATCCGTGCTGGTCACAGTTGTGCACAGAGATTTCCTTTGTTCGGACGTCCTTTCGAATCGACGCAGCCGCTGGCACGATGCGGAGCACCGGGCGAGTAAGCACAGCTGAGCTGCACGCCGATTCGCAAAGGTAATTTGACCGCATGGAGCGATGGCCCCGGTGTGTTTTGGCCCAGGTGTTTTTGATGCCGTTCCCGTATGCTGTTCCTGTTTCGGCGCGTTCTGTTCTGCTTGGGGGTGACCCGCTCTCCCCCAAGTGCATCACTCGTTTCCCTCCCATCCACATGTGCACGGCAAGCGCTTCTGAATTGAAGCGTCAATCGACCGGAATAATGAGCCACCTTCGGGAGGCCCCAGCGCTGCAGTACTTCTGAACCGGGGCTTCTCGCAAGGAGTGCCAGCAACTGTGTATCTGTCACGTTGTGCCATTGCTCCCTCAATGAAGCAATCAAGCGCGATAAATGGTGGCGCCCTTGCGCACCGCCCCCCCAGCCCTCTCGCTCCTCTGCACGGACGCACTGCCTGCTGCCCGTTCTCAGTCATGGCCCGGTGGGCGCGTTTCGACGTGCTGCGAAGGCGACGCCGTGGAGGCCTCTCCCTGCGACAGGCTCGCAGGTCTGGTCCAGGTAGCGGTGGGACTTAAGCGCATGCCTGCACGAGGAGATGATCCGGCTGGAGCACAGCAGACTGGTTTCCGTACACGTGGGCGCGTTCTTTGGCCGAGGCACCCCCTTCATCTCTAGGATCTAACGACCACGGCCGGGCAGCTCCGGCTGTGCGCGCGCTTGGTGATGCGCAAACAGTGACGGGAAGGCGCGCGTGAATTTTGATTATTGGGTTTGTGGTTGCCCTGGTGTGGATGGTACCCGATGACGGAATCGCACAAATCGAACGTGACTGTGGGCGAGTGGGTTCTGGTGCATGTGTGCAGCCTGAAGTGGTCATTCACACCCCTTGGCCGGAGCACGTCCATGGAACGTTGACGATTCGCGGATCCATGGAGCCGTGGGCGCGCCGGTCCAGCGCTCACCGTCTCCAAAGTGATGTGTCAGAGGCTGGCGCCAACCTTTGTAACCTTCGTCAGGGTACCCTTCAAGTCTTGCGCTCCCGCGCCAGCGCTGGGGTACAAGCTGTATCCGAGGCGCAGAACCGATTCCCTTCTCCACCCAAGGCAGCCTGAACTTCCCTGGCGGCCATTGACGGCACGCGCAAGTCCTCGGGGTTGTTTGGAGGCCCCAATGATCTGTGCTTGGACAACGTTGCTCAGGAATTGGCTGCACCCAGGTGCTCGGTGCCTTCTGCAGAGTGTGGGCCAGTTGCTGTGCTCGAAAATGCGGCCTGTGAACCCGGTCCGGCTGTAAACCGCACTCGCTCATCGACAGATCAGTCTCTTTGTACGGACGTATTGGTGGGGTCCCCAGACGTCGTTCAACACAAGGTTCTGTGGGAACACCCCCCTGCCTGCCTATTTCAGGCAGGTAGGGAGCCAGTCCAAAGACCCTGCACCACACGATGGCAAAGTAATACACACAAATTTCAGCCCTGATTTGGAGCCTGGAAAGCAAGCAGTATGTCCTTCAATTCCTCTTGCATGCCTTGGACATGGGCCATGGCCAGTCTCTTGCCATCTCTGCCCTCGGCAGGAGACCCACTTGGTAAAACACGTGAATCGCAGATGGTGTAGCTCATTCCATAGTACAGTTTGCATAGTAATGCTCCCTGTTGCCCAATATGAAGTATGGGAGCACTTTAGCTTCAGGTCACTTCGGAGTTTGGGATTCAATATGTAGCGGATCATCTCTGGTTTCGTTGCAGATGTCCAGCGCTTCTCAAATGCTGGACCTTGAGTTCCTGGGTGACCAACATCAGCACACTTTACGGGGCCAAGCTTTTCTGGATTTTTGTTGTCTGCACGGGGCGATGTTCAGGCTATTGTACTGCTTCTAGTGACACCTCACTGATTATCAGGCCCGCAATTTTGGCATCAACCGATTCATTCTTCAAGGGTAGTAGTGGACTGCAGGGCGCCCTACGCAGCCATCTGCAGAACATGTTAGGATTGATATTGAACAAAGGCGATTGGGCTCACAACAGTGCTGTCCTCTTGGGTGGTGCCATTCTTTAGGGCCATACCTGAGTCTTGAGAGTGGGACATGGATTGATTCTTTGGTAAGTGTTCGTGTTGTATGAGCCCCACTGCTGAATGGCATTCTCCTGGGGTATCAGGGCTTTAGACAAAGCAGGTGTCTTTCAGTACCAGTCAGTATCGAACTGATTGCTGTGCTCTCTGCCCCTGGCCAGCTGTAACCGAATGCAGTCATACTTGTTGTCCTCCCCTGTCCAACTTGTGTGCATTGCCTGCCCACTGCACCTGCACTGTATGGTGCTGTACATTCAATCAAATCACTGGCAAAATCATGCCCTACGCCACTATGTTTGGTTCATTTTGAGGGTATGCCGTCTACAAGGCAGAGAATGGGGGTGACAATCCAGTGCATAAGGGCAAGTGGTGCCTAGTATTGAAGGGCCTGCTGTGTTGCCAAATCTATGTTTGTAGTTGTGCTTAGCGAATGACTGGGCCCATGATTTCTGCCCAATGGTGTTCGTTCTTGGCAGGCAAATTCCAGCTGGTGGCCATATGCACAGCATATTGCAGCTAAAGACAGAGCGAATGATGCAAAGATGTCCAGCAATTCGCGTCTGTATGAGCATTTTTTTCTTGCTGTTTCTACCTTTTGGGGACAAACCCGAACCTTCCTGGCAGCAAACGTGACCGCACAAAGTTTGGCGTTGGTTTGCATTGTTCATTCCCTTTCAGCTGCCAGTTCAACAAAAACAAAATGAAACGAAAGGGATAGAAACAAACTAGCCATGCTTTAAGCGCCCCAATAGAACAAATTCTTTAAAGTTGCTGTATCCCGAAACGCTACGGTGTCGGTTCGTCGTCTGCATCGGACTACTCTCGAACCCCTGTGGACTTGCATACCACCACCATTTCAAAAGTATTGTTGCGTTTTCTAATTCGCACGTCTGAAATTTGGCCGGAACAACTTTCGATGTGCCATATTGAGATCTATCTGGGAAGCCCTGAGACACAGCAAATGGCGCCACCGTTCTCGTGATTCTCCAAGCAGAGCTGAAGTGCGACTTTGAAGTTTTGTCCAGACCCGAGGCAGGGCATGGCAAGGTCGTCCTGCTCTTCAAGGATTTGGATCGAGCTGAGCTATTGCTAGGAAAGATGGTTGGCTTGGTGGTTTGGTTTACACTGAAGATGCGGGTAAGCTCAAAACAGAATCCGCAAAGCAAAAATGCAGGCTTGCTGCAGATTTTCGGGTGTCAACAACAATTGTGTGTATGTTGTGGTTGAAGGCCAAGAGACACCTAGATTAGGGCAAGAGCATTGACCTAGCAGATGTACTGAGGTTTGAAAAGGCCGTGCATGCTGATGATAAGGGAAGACACTATGTGCGTTTTGGTATGCTTAGTGTCAATTTGATGACAGGTTCAGCCCCCCCCCCCAGCGTCAATCCTCATGTCGATGCAAGGATGACTCAGAAACATTTCCGGACGGTGGTGTGCAACTTTCAAGTGGTTCTTAGGACAAAAAACAACCAAATTTGCGCTGATTTCAGTGGTAAAAAAGTAGAATTCTAAATTCCATTATTGGTGAGGCGGGCAGCCTCAATGGCTGCAAATTGACCCATTCTCAGCCATTCTAAGGCCTTTGACGATCCAACATTTGAAGGACGTTTAGGAAGAAAACATGGGGTGTTTCCTGCCTATCAGTGGTGTTTTTGGGCACCTTCTTTTATGTCGATTTTGTGGCAATAACATAATCTTTTGGCATCACAGGTCTGGACCACACCCACCTCAAACCCTAGCGTCAATTTGACACTAATCGTACCAAAATCGACATAGTGTCTTCCTTAACCAAAACACGGCTTAGGTTGGTGCCAGCATGGCCAATCGGAGACAACTGGAGACATGATTCAGCATATTGGAAGATATGGTCCACAACAAGCATGATCGCAATGATGCCGAAACTCTTGAAAAGTTTCAGTAGTGCCTATTTATTGCCTTCAACAAGGTTCTTGATTAATTTGTGGAGATTAGCTGACACATATGGGCATAAGGTGAGCAAAAAACTAGGGGGAATTGAGGCCCCAGCGGGGGCAAACATGGACACTTTTGATAAGGCTGTGAATTTCATGTTGTATGGCAATGATTAATACAGTAAGCATCCACATCAATCCAAAGTCGACTAAGGAATCCGGTTCTAGATTTGCTAATTGATTTGATTCTACAAAGTTACGGCAGGATTTGAAAAAACGACAATATTTTTGAAGCGGAGGTAGTATGAACACCGCCCCTTTCACAACGGACAGAATGGGTAATGAACAATGTATCTAAATTACAACTAGTGCTTTACGGAAATTACTGGAAATCCTTCACCGTGTTCTTAAGCAAAGGCCAGTCGTGGCCACGTTTTTCGACAAGCTTGCCATGTACGACAGCACTTGCCACACCCATCCCGTAAGTGGCAAGCGGAAGTATGCCCTTTAGTTAATCTCACAGTGCCATACCAGAAGCGCAGCGTCAAGGGCACTGCTGCAAACAGTATCTTGCTGATTGCGGGTTGCCGTGTTGACGAAGAGCCACAATTGCCGCCATTGGATTTTGCATTTAAAAATGTTCTCCATTTTCCGCGCAGCTTCAGCATGGTTACTTGCTCGTTCGAACTGCAGTGCCCTTGATGCCGTCGGCCCACCATACCCTCTGGCCGCAGCCCTGTCCTCGGCTGCGACAGGCGCCCGGACTGTCGCTGTCCGTCCAGGTCTCCGATGGCGGTGCTGAGCACCCGTCGTGGGGATCCACAATCAGCGAAGGCCCTTGTGGCGTCGGCAGCGGCTGGCCGAGACATCCAGTTGGAGTTTTGGTCTGGGCCGTCGCAGCTGCGCGACGTGTTTAGTTGCTCGGCGAAGAGGCAGCTGGTGGTTGATGGAGAGGCTCTCACGGACGCAAACGCGATTGCCGAGTTTTTGGGTGGGTAATGATCTGCGTCCAAGATTCTGTGTGCATCGTCGTGGCCTCCAAATTTGTGCATTGTGGTTTGTGCTACAGCATTGCGCACAGTTTTTATCGATCTATGAATGTGACTGCGAAATCAGGGTATGAATTTTCCAAGCAAACCGCAACCGCCAATGGTCAACGTTTGTAAGGGCCTCTGTTTTCAGCATCGAGTGGACAGGTAGCTGCATCTGCCACTCAAATGAGACCCAGATGTTGAGACCCACACGTCTTGACTTCAGAAGCTGCATCCGGCAGCTGCATATTGCTGAACTGTTTTTGGTTCTTGGGTTGGATCAATGGCAGCGAAAGATGCTGGACTGGATGTTGTGAGCGGTGTGGCTAGATTTGAATTGTGTGCACCTGGCAAGCAGCAGCAGCAGCAGCAGCTAGCGCTACTCAACAATTGTGGCAGGGGGGCAGAATCTGTTTGTGTAATCAACATCAATGCGTTGTTTCTTATGAACAGCTTCAGATTGCATTCGCTGACGCCTGTGTTGTCGTGCCCATGCAGTTGTCAGTATGTGTTGCTTTTGGCATCTCCCACAGGAAGCCCCTTAGCTGAATAACTTTTATTCTCAGGAGATATGTGGATGCATCCCACAGGTGGATCAGCACTGCTCCCAGCTGATCATGAGTTCTCCATTCGAGAATGGATCGAGTGGGAAGAACGACAGTTGAGAAAGGCCATCTATAAGCACAATCGAGATGGGTTGGCACAGCTTTTGGATGTTGTGTGCATGGCCGTCCAGGGGAAGAGCCACATTGTTGGAGAGCAGTTGACACTGGCAGATGTGAGTATCAACACAAGTTGAAACATATAAATCCTGATCAGCTTGTTTCCAGTCGACCTATCATCGGCTGTATATTACCTGGCTGGTACACTGGCTGCACGTTTTATCACTGAAAGCTGCAGACACAGAGCACATTTAATTCAATGTTATATAATGTTCAGAAAATCTTGGTTGCTGCAATTGTCAATTGACACAACACAGCACAGCCTTTGCACCTCTCACACGATGTCGGGCATTCACCACAAGCAGCAGAAAACCTTCACAAGGAGAGTACTCCCATAGTCCGACCAGTTTGCCCAAAGAACTGCCAGTGTTGGCGCCTATTTGTCTGACCACATTGTGCCATCTAAACATTCATTGGTACCGATGGTGATTGTGCTTCCGTAATTAAGGGTCAGATGCATTAAAGCAGGGAGTGCACTGGCCAATGCCAAGAGAGTTGCACAGTGAATAACTGACATTCGCAATGATAGATAGACAGAGTTTCTTTTTACTATGTGGTGCAACGATTTGTGCAGGTGGTGCTTTTCTGCACTTTACTACCAGTTATGGACAGCGGTTGTGTGAAGGAGCCCCTCAAGGAGTACCTCAGCGGTCTTGAAAAGCTTGCAGCGTTTCAAGCTGCAGGAAAACGGGTACAGCTGCAGAACATCCATGCACCTGTTGACATTTGTTGGCCTGTGGAAGGTGGTAACTATATTGCGCTTTCTGAAAGGCTGATGGAATTTGGGACTTCAGGCCAGAATCAGAAATCACAGATTCAGTTTCCGTTCCTGTGCCCCCGGTGTGTGCTGTTTCTGCCAAGGAAGTCACAACTCCTGTGAAAGTATCACCGCAGCTAACTGAACAATGGTGGTCCCGTGTACCTGCTCACAGTTGTACATTTCCATGCGTGGCGAGGCGCAACTTTTATGCACCTCCTTTCCTTGCTATTAATTGACCAAAGTCACCTGTGCTGGCATGCATGTGGAATCGTGGTTGCCGATGCTGAGACGCTTGCTCTGGGGGAACAATGGCATGCGCACACAGTGGGGTGGCGATTCACAAGGTGTGAATCCCACTACTACTGTTTGCTATTTGCACTTGAGGACATCACTCTTATCTTTCGATTGTACAGATTCTGGATGGATGCCCAGCCACAACCTTTGCCCAAGTTGTGGAAGAGGACATTGCCACGCGGGCAGCATCAAGTCCCAAAGTGCCTATCCCTGGCCAGAGGAACATTTTGGTGAGTACCTTGAAATTTTCAGGATCAACCAAGGTGCATTTTGTCCTGTAAAATTGGACATTTCCACAGCAGTCCTTTCCTACTTCAACAGCAGCCTCTTTGCATCCTTTGCTGTGAGAGGTGCACATAATGTTGCCTTTTTGCCTGCCGTTATGGTTCCATTTCCAGGATTCGCTTCTATCCTTTGCTTTCATTGCGCACCACACCCTTTGTGGCCAGTTGGAAGTAATTCGGAGCTATGGGTCAAATCGTGAAGACAGTTGTGCTAACTTTTTGGCGGGAACTGTGGACTATGCATCGCAGACGATTAACAAAGAAAAGAGCACTGCTGGTGAATAAAGGTTCAAGTTTGCATGTGATGGAGCTGACACAACTGTCTCAGCAAGGAACATTTGTTATGGAAACGTGTCAAGGACGCTGATTCATTCCTAATGGTGAAAGCATCAAACAGTGTGACATATTTTACTTTGAGTATGCCCATTGTGGGTGCATGGCTGCTATGGCTCCTTGACTGTATCTTGTTGTGGCCATGTGGTATACATGCGCTGATCATCTGGTGTCAGCCTCTGACTGGTGTGCTACCCTTCTTTTCAGATCACCAGCGCACTTCCCTATGTGAACAATGTGCCACACCTGGGAAACATCATCGGTTGTGTCCTTAGTGCTGACGTGTACGCAAGGTATTGTCGAGCAAGGGGGTACAATGCAATCTACATCTGCGGAACAGATGAATATGGAACTGCAACTGAAACAAAGGTGGGGATTGTGTGGAAGGCTGTGGGCAACAACCACAGTTTGGCATGTTGCATAGACTGTGAAAGATGGTACAGACATGCTTTGTTGGTGAAGTGATTCCCCAGTATTTTAGAGGAACAGCCTCACCTCAGTGGCTGACACATGCAGACTAGAGACGCTGTGATGCTTGGCAGTTTCACCATATTCAAGCCAGCTGTTGGGTACTCGATCTATCCTTCCCCGAGTGCTTTTGCTGACATTTGCAGAATGAGTGGCTTGAAATGCACATTGGCTGCTGTCAATGTGTGTGCATAGCTTAAGGGCATGAACTGCTAGTATTCCTTGGTTTGGCTGTTGTTAACAGCATGCCCTTGAGAGTGCATTATCGGCATGTTCATTTCAGTATGCGACTGGTTTGTGTGTTGCGTGGCCAGGCCTATGAGGAAGGCATGACCTGCCAAGAGGTATGCGACAAGTACCACGCCATCCACAAGGAAATCTATGAGTGGTTTGACTGCAGTTTTGACAAGTTTGGGCGCACACCAACAAGGTTTCAGACAGAGATCGCACAGGACATTTTCAAGAGTCTGAAAGACAATGGTCAGCTTATTGAACAAGAGATGCAACAGTTATTTTCAGTGCCCCTGCAGAAGTTCCTGGCGGATCGGTTCGTTGCCGGCACGTGTCCAAAGTGCGGTTACGAGGTAAGGCGATGCTGCTGTTGAAGCCAAGATGAAGTCGTCTCCCGCAATTCACAATGTACAATATCCCACAAGGCCGGCCATGTACAGTCCCCAAATGGCATAGATATGAATCCAGCATGTGGGGAGTTGCCGTTCGGATGCACCCGTGAGAATGCTGAAACAAGATGAGAAACACTCACCACAGTCTTTGTTTCAATGCTCCAGCCACAAGGCAACATCCGCACCTTCTATCTGCCTGCCACCTTGCGTCACCAGTCCCATATCATCAACCAACGGAGGCCCGTCTAGCCATCCTGCAGTAGATACGAAACCCAGTTGAAGCTGCTCAAACACCCCAACAGCCCATCCTTCCTTGCAAGGTCCCGTGGACATTGAACATAGCACTTTTGCATGATCACCACCTTCCACTGCAGTTTTCAGCACCGCACACCATTTAAACTTACTGGATTAAGCCTGCTTCATATCATTTCCATGATGGTCGGCCCTTCCAGTTGTGTTGCAACCAATCAGAATCCGTGCTTGCTAAAGCAGCATCAATTTGTCAGTGCCTTTCAAGCTGCTGTGTTACGACTAACATTCTTGAATGTTTTGCATGGCCAGGATGCCAGAGGGGATCAGTGTGACAAGTGCAGCAACCTTCTGAACCCAATTGAGCTCATTGACCCCAAATGCAAACTCACGGGCACAACCCCTATTGTGAAGAAGACACGGCACATATTCTTGGACTTACCACAGCTGTCAGACAAACTGGGCAAGTACATTGACAAGACAGCCAAGGAGGGAGACTGGAGCAACAATTGCTTGCAGGTGTACTTAAGTTTTCTATTCCACAGAGAAACAATTGGCCTCCCATGACATGTTTCCGGTGAACAATTCTGATGCTATGTCCAATCTGTTTATGAAGTGCTAGCTAACTGCTGCCGTTTGGTGCTGGAGATTTGACACTGGAGTGTAAACAAACTGTAGTGGTTATGTTATTTTGCTAGTATAGTCAAGGGCAGTGGAACATTCGATAGAAATTTCTGTGGATATTATCATGAAAAGATGTCCTACGTTCTGTACCTCTGATCCATGCAAATGCGCACGCCTGTTCAAGAAGCTGCATTGATATTCGTGTTCTTTTTCTCCATTTCAAAAATCGAGCTAAGGAAGCTACTGGGAGCTTTGTCAAATGTTGCCATTCGCAGAAATTGGATGCGTACATCCAATATAGCAACACCTCTAACAGGCAAAACTGGGACTTGAAAGCCAATTTTTTTCTCAGGCTGTCCTCCATCTGGAAGGGCCCAATCTGGTGGGGCCCCTCTCCCCACGGTGTCACAGTCTACTAGCCCCAATGATGGATATGCATCAAGGATGCCGTTGTTGGCGTGGCAGGCCAGACTGAGAAACCTTTGGCTTTCTGTTCCAAGTTGGGCGGCTTTGAAGTACTGCCATACTGGCCCTACTTGCCTGTCATCTACAATTTTGGGATTGTATACTAACTTAACTCATAGCTGGTACCATGTGTTGACTTTCAAGAAGAAGGAATTACGTGATATCAGTGCAGCCTCCCAGTCCGACACCTGCATCTAATTCCACACAGAGAAAGTATTGCTTTTTGTGGAGTTGCCTTTGGTCATTATAGTTACTATGTACAGTTATTGTTTAGCTGTTTGCCCCAGGTCTCTCAATACACCTTGGACAAGAGGCCTCACCACAGAAATCTTGTTGTGGATGTTGTTGTTCTTCAGTGCTTGCCTGCTGTGATTCTCATCTGGTTGTGTGTTTTTCATCTTCGCCTCAGGTCACAAATGCCTGGATGCGCGATGGCTTGAAACTTCGGTGCATCACGCGAGATTTGAAATGGGGCACACCAGTTCCCATGGATGGGTACAGGGACAAGGTGTTCTATGTGTGGTTTGATGCCCCAATTGGTTACATCTCCATTACTGCAGACTATACTCCAGACTGGGAGAAATGGTGGAAGAACCCAGATGTGAGTTCGAAAATCAGCCTTATTCTGGCACTTTGGTTTTGGATGTTTGCGTGCTGCCCAATGCAGATTTTCATCAGGTGTGAGGTGCACTCAAGATGTTGTGTTCGTTGAGCAAGCTAGCTATGTAATACAGATGTCGTTCGATGATTTTCTTCCAGCCTTTGGGAGCATACTTGCTGGCCCCATTTTCATGATGGAGTACTCGTGGTTTTGATCTTGTTCATGGTTACCATACTGTTGCACAGATGGTGGCAGCATAGTGCACCACAGGGCCAGTGTTCCAGCCCAGAGGCTGGCTGAAGTACATGCCATTAAACAATACATCTGTTTCCAGGACGAAATGCCTGGTTGCTGATTGGACAGAGCATAACAGGAATTGAAGGCTACAAGTCGACTTTTCAGTATGTGTGCATCCCATGGATTGTCTGCTCTCAATCATTCATGTCCCCAAGCAGAATGTGCCAGGTCACCAAGTGGATTCAGAACAAAACACTTGGTGCCAGATTCAATGGTGCTACGATTGTTGATACAATTAGCCTTACAATAAGCATGGCGGGGCATAATTGGTAGCACAAGATGTCCTTGCTGTTGTGAACTTCAGGTTTCAACATGGGATATCAGTGCGCACTTGATGGTTTGGTTATTTGATACATCAACTTTTTACACAAGGAGCAATTGTCAAACAGTCTTGGACTTGGTGCAGCAGGAATGTGCTCCTAAGTGCGGATGAGTGCTTACCATGTCTGAGTCAGTTTCTTTGTGACTATGCACAGGAGGTGGAGTTGGTTCAGTTCATGGGAAAGGACAATGTGCCTTTTCACACAGTTATCTTTCCTGCCACTCTCATTGGCACACAGCAGAATTGGACCATGATGAAGAGCATATCCGTCACGGAGTATCTCAACTACGAGAATGGAAAGTTCTCAAAGACCCATGGTGTAGGTGAGCACATGGAGAACTTTTTCTTCCTGCCCTTATTCTTTGATTGTGGCTATTGTAGCAATCTACACACAGAAAGGGCACCTAATGGCATCGCGCATGCCTTTGGATGGTATTGCCCTGGTGTAAGAATACGCAACTTCCACCTGTTTTCCTTGAATCTCACACAGATTGGCGAATTGCATCAATGCTCCATTGTATGCAATGGACATACAGACATTGAATGCTGCCAATCAAACGCTGTTTCTTGTCAAAGGGGATCGGATTTCACCATTTGCAAGCGTTGTACCTTGATTAGTCTGTTTTTGATCCCAATGCCAGTTTCTGCAGTTGCAATTGAGGGTTGCTGCACCACATCCAACCTAACAGAAGAATACAAGGCCTTTTGACTCCTTACAATATCAAGGGGATGTGGACCTCAAATGGTGATTGCCCACAAAGGATGGATGAAAGAATCTATTGCCATTGAAGGTCAGCACCAAAGAGGAGGGGCCTGTCAGAATCACCTACCACTGCGAAACTTTTGCGTTCTTGTATTCTTGTCAGCAGAATCCAACCATCAATGTGCTGGTGGATACCATTGTTTTCCAGTCATCCAGCACATTCTTCTTGCAAGAATATCTGACTGTTGATGTTGGGGCAAGGTGTGTTTGGTAATGATGCACGAGAGTGCGGAATTCCTGTTGAGGTCTGGCGCTACTACCTCTTGGCCAATCGGCCGGAACAGCAAGATACTGCCTTTGTGTGGTCAAATTTGGTGGCCCACAACAACAACGAGCTGCTCAAGAATCTGGTGAGCGCCAATGTGTTGTGAGGATGTGGTGTGTGTGCTGCAGTTATGAGCTGTGTTCCTCAATAGTATCAACCCTTCGGAACAACAAGTCTATTTCAGATGGTGATATGGCTCCATGGCAAGCCAACGAGTATTCAACTAGAGAAACGAGCACATGCTTGGTTGGCAGCAAAGTAGGGCAGATATCCCGTTGTCAAGCATACGAATGGACACCTGCGACCCAGAGCTCATGGACCACCAAATGCACTACCAACCTGACATGTGCACAATGGGTTTGGGGATGAAGGGCGTGAACTGCCTGCTTGGGTTGGCAATGGCAGGCATCTCTGGCTCATCTTTGGCATCTAACGTGAGACATTAGTCGATGACTTGATTGCCAAACTGCCAGTTGTATGCTCGAGAACATGGCAGGTTATCCTGGTCCAGGTATATGAACAGCGGAGCCCTGTTCTCACATATGCATTGTGATGCCTCGCAACTTGTGCTGCAGGGGAACTTCATTAATCGTGCCCTGAAGTTTGTAGAAAAGTTCTTCGATCGAACCATTCCTGGGTCAACAGATGAAGGACAGGAAGTTGTATCTGCTTTGGGCTCAGAGCTTTCAGCAAAAGTGAAGGAGTACCTCCAGAAAATGGAAAAAATACAAATGAGGGCTGGCTTGTTCCTTGCCATGGAGGTCTCAGCCGTCGGCAACAAGTTCCTGCAGGTAATTGGTGGCTGTCAGTGTCGTATTTCAAGACTGGAGCATTCAGACAGTTGCTGGTGCTCAGACTCGTCCTGTACAGCATTCAGTGCAAGTGGTGTCCTGTTCACTTTTGCACATTCAGCTTGAAATATCAGTCCTAGTTGTAGAAACCTGAAAACCACCCAGGTGTGCTGAAAGTGCAACACAAACCAGCGTGCATCAGAACTGTGGAGCACATGTTTGTGGCAGCTATCAGCCTGTGCATGATATCCATATCCTTGGAAACAACCTTCCACAGACAAAATAGGGCATTTTGCAAGTGCCTCAACAGACCAGCTGCGAGTGACCTCATAGCCATTGACACAATGCTACCACTGCACAGGACAACAAACCGTGGGAGATTGTTGAGAAGGACCCTGAAAGATGCAAGACACTTGTCACTACGGGCGCTGGAGTGGCCAAATTGCTGGCAGCTCTGTTCCAACCGTTTATGCCTTCACTGACAAGGAGGATATTGCAGCAGCTGAATGTGGGCTGGGATGCCACCAGTCTCAGAGACTGCGATCTGGAGCTTGTGTCAACGCCAGATAAATTGCTCGAGGCCGGTCACAAGATCAATGAACCAGCGCCTTTGTTTTCAAAGATTACTGATGAGGCAGCAGAGGAGTTCCGGGCCAGGTAAGCCCATGTGTTTGGGAGCCGATCCGGCATGAAGACCATGGCTTGGCCGAGGTTGAGGCAACGCTGAAAGAGAAGGATTCAAAAAGAGGCAGTGGGACAGAATTCTGTGGATTGGGAAGTTGCCACACCTGTGGCCTCAAGACCCACAGGGGTGTTTTCGCACCCTAGTACCTTGCAATATTGCACTAAACCAGCCAATGGACGATAGGTTGTTGGTGATGGCTTGGTGTCTAGTGCCTTTCAGCGAGCTGGAGATCCTGGAGATATTGTACTGGCAGGTCGAGCCGCGCTGTGCACCGCCGTTGCACTGTTGTGGAGGCTGCGCAGCGTCACGCAGTCACCCCTACGTACTGTGTTACGCGCTCTGCGATTCTGTCAATGATACTGGACTGCGGTGTCAGTTTTCCTTCTGGAATAGTTATTGGATCGTTGTCGCGAATGTGCTGGTTGATGACCTGTTTGGTGCGGGATTCTAGGTTCTCTGGATCCAAAAACGCGCCAGCAACATCTGCGGGCTCAAATCCTGCAAATGCAAATGGAAAGAAGGGGAAGCAAAGGGCGAAAGCACAGCAAAAGAATGCTGGCGCTTCATCATCAAAGGAAAGCAAGGCTCCTGGAGATGAAACTGCGGATGGTGCTGCGGTGGCGGCTGCCGCAGGAGGGAAGGGCAAAAAGGAGAAGAAAAAGGGCCGTGGGGAAGGGAGGGCCGCACCTGCAAAGGAGGAAAAGCCTGTTGATGTGTCAAGGATAAATCTGCGGGTGTGTTGTAGTTCCTGTTTATCACATGGCACTGGCATTCGATCCTGTATTGTATTGTGCCTGAATTCTTGGCAGTGGGCATCCAAAGTGCCCGTTCTTGGATCACATCCTCCGATAGGGGCCAGCATAGTCTATTTGGGTGTGTTTGGTGCTGACGATACCCCCAGAGATCGTGCACGTTTGCACGTGGAACACAGACTTTGGCAATTGTTCGTACAGGCCGACCCCCAGTGTTGTCCATGCTCGTGTTGCACCGTTGGCCGCTTGTTTGATGGATCGTAGCTGTGCAGGTGGGCTTCATCAACAAAGCGTGGCAGCACCCTGATGCTGACTCACTTTATGTGGAAGAAATCGACCTGGGGGAGGAGGCGCCCAGACAAGTGTGCAGTGGCCTCGTGAAGTTCATTCCAGAGGAGCAGATGCAGAAGCGGCGTGTCGTTGTGGTTGCCAATCTGAAACCCGTGACGATGCGAGGAATTAAATCCCATGCAATGATCCTGTGTGCCACGAGCCCGGATGGAGAAAAGGTATGACAAATGGCTGAACTCCTTTTTGCAGCGTGCCTGTTCGTGCCATGTCCCCATGTTAGCAAGGTGTCCTCGATTCTTTCTTCTTGATGACCGCTGGCCCAGCCCGGCCCAGAACAGGGAAGAGTGCAGGTCAGAATCGCGCCCACGTGGTGCCTTCCCGTTCTGCAGCTCGTGAGCGAATCCGGGAAGGCATGCATCACCTATTGGCTATGCACTCCATCGACAGATCAGACGGTCAACTCAACGAACGCGAGGGTGGCGCACCCAGGCGGGTGTGCCGCCGAACTACGTTTTGTCTGTCTATGGGTAGATCCGGGCCAATGTCTACTTCAGGCGATTGTGTGTAAGTGGCTGTACGCATTGCCTGTTCATCTGACTTTGCCGAGCAGGTTATAAGCGTGCAGAACAGTTTGGGTATCGGGTCCAGAGGGAACACATGTTCACAGCACAGTTCGAGTCTGGCAGGTCATCTGGGTATCCCTTGTCGGAGTGTCGCGCACTTTCAAGTGCGTTGGGCCCGTCAAAGTGGCCGGCCTAGCTGCTTAGAGACGGGGTTCCGACGATTCAGCAAACTTCACCGCAAAAGGATGTCGCAGAGTTGGACTGGCCATGGCCTGGATTGCCCGTTGTGCTGTTTGAGAACGTGCTTCGCTACCTGGCAGGTGGAGCTCCTCGAGCCTCCCGAGGGCGTCCCCGTTGGGGAGCGAGTCTTCTGTGAGGGATACAGCGGCGAGCCTGACGACGTCCTGAACCCTAAAAAGAAAGTGTTCGAGGCGGTGCAACCGGACTTCGCGACAAATGGTGATCGGGTGGCGTGCTACAATGGGACGCCGTTCATGACTTCCAAGGGCCCATGCACAGTGGCGACCATAGTGGGCGGGAGCATCAAGTGATGCATGATGGGGGTGTGAGGCCCGTCTTCTGGGTCGCAGAATTGGGTGCTGGCCAATGGCTTTTCGCAGATTCCGGCCGAGGCTGTCGTGGTTGCAATGGCAGAGAGGACGTTGGGGAAGATTTAGGCCCCTGAAGTTGCGGAGGTCAGCCGCCGCTTACGAAAAGGAGCAATGCAGCAAAGCCAGCATGCCGTGAGAGCGATTAGCTTGAGAACTTGGCGTCTTGCACGGAATGACGTCTACTCTGTACAGAATGACTGTCTTTAGTTCGCCATGTGGCCGTGCATGTGACGTGCAAGGAGGTGGGGATTTGTTTAGTGAGTCGATTCCCAAACGGTGTTCGGATGGCACGAGTTGTGTAAGAACAGTGTTGCCCTACCTGGTGTGGATGCATAGTCGTTCTTTGCCCCTTGATGTTTAAATGGCAGCCAAACAGGCAACTGCACAGCCTTGGACGTTTCAATCATCGACACACATGCAATGAAAACGGTACAGCACCACCTCAGGCTCCGTATTCCTGCCATCTTTGCGCCGTCGTCATCACAGCCAATTCCGTCAAATCGTGGCTCGTGGGCTGTGATACTGCAATTGTGCGGATCGGCCAAATCATTTCTTTCCAATCCTTTCCACTTTAAGAATGCACAGCCCTGGCTCGAGTCGACACAAGTCAACGAGGGATCATACATCGATCACACGGCCTCTGCATTGCCAGCTGTTCCCGTGGCTCCACCAAACCATCCACAGCTCTGCCCACCCACCCACTGTGCCGCTCTAGAAGTCGTCGTCGCCAAACAAACCGATTCCCATGTCATCGTCGCTTTCCTCCTCTTCCTCCTCCTCCTTCGCAGCTTCCTTTGTGTCCTCCTTCGCTTCTTCCGCCGCTGGTGCAGCAGCCGCAGCAAATGCGGACGGATCGGCCAAGTAAGCTTTCACCTGTTTGCAGAATGGAACATACTCAGTCAACCATTGGAACACGGTCTCGGCTTCCAGGACTGTAGACAAAGCAGGCAAACAGATGAGCTCTATTTGCCACATGCAGGTCATTCTCCACGGTAGCACCAGGCATTCCACAACAGGGTATGATGGCTGCGTCATCACCACTGTCAGCACACCTTTCCACCAAGATCCAGATATAGAGGGCAACAATTGTACTTCCTCTGTTCCAAAAGCCGTGTCCGCTCTCAAATTTGCACGAACAGAGATCTAAACGACAGAAAAATTGACCAAAACTACTTTGACACGCCATACAATGAGCTATCCAAATAGCCCTCTAACGTGGCAAAGGGCGCTGCCGTTCTTGCGATATGCAGGGTGCAGCCGAAACACAGTTTTGCATTTTGTTGGCACCTAGGGCAGAAGCATGGCGGGCCCGTACTGCCCTTCACAAGAGATGAATCGACCTTAGTTGTCACTGGGAGAGCAGTGTGCTTTGTTGGTTTGGCCTACACTAAGGATGCGGCTTGATTCCAAACAGAATCAACGCGAAATTTGATCAGATCGTAGTGCAGCCTTTAGGGTGTCAGCAAGAACCGCGCGATGTTTCTGGCCAAGGGCCAAGAGACACCTCGATCTGTGCAACAACATCTACCTGGTAGACTTTCCAGGGTCTGGAAGGGCATGCATACCAGAGATAAGGCCTACATTGAGGCAAAACGGCCAATTGCTGAAAGCAGGAATATTGGAAACATGATTCGCATACTGGAAGAAACAATGCAGAAAAAGAATGGTAGCAAAGACATCAAAACTTTTCAAAGGCTGCAGTGCCTATTTGTTGTCTACAGCAAGGTTCCTTATGAATTTCTGGGAAATGGGTTGGGACATATGGGAATAAGGCCCATGCAACCATGCATGGAATTGAGGACCTGCCTGGAGCTGGACAGGCTCATATTTGTTATAACGACATGAATGTCTTGTTCATGGGAGTGACCAATGCAATCAAGGTTCATCTCAACCCAAAATCAAGCCAATAATCCAAGTACAGTTATGGATTGGCTGAATGATTTGATCTTGCAAAGTTATAGCAGCAACTGGAGTTCCGACACGACATTTGGGACGGAGGTAGTAGATTGACACATATCAACTCAGCAGTGTAGCTGCAGTCTAACCCAATAAGGGCCGAATATTGTGCGTTGGATGAATAAGGACACAACAAAGCCCCATCATTGTACCATCACAGTACCATGTATCAAGACAACACAACCAATGAGGTGGCCATGGTGCATATAGGTTTGTCAGGAGCGACGCTGCATATTTTCGACTGCTTTGCGCAGGTCTGAACAGCAGAGAGCTTTCTGTGCAGGTGTTGAAAATAGTTTCCCCACAAGGAACACATTCGCCACGCAGCAGACAGCACACAGGCACCACTAAAACCATTGCAAGACTGAAATTGGAAGTTGAGCAAATCAAAGCCACACCAACTCCCACCTTCTCTGCCAACGGGAAAGTGTAGTCGGTCTCCACGGCAATTGCCAGAACATTCTTGTAGGCGTTGATGATTGAATGTGGAAGGGACACGATTGTGGGGTAATTCGCTCCCAAGCACAACGATGCAATGTTGCGGATCGCCACTTCAGCCTTGCTGAGCAGCATTTCATCAGTGATGTCCAAAACTTCAGGAGCATACAGGCTGCCGTTCTCGTACACCTGTACAGCACAGATGGAGCCATAATAACAAATACTGTGGCAAGGAATCAAGGCAACAATCTACGCTATTGCCTATTCAACTTGAGCTGACCAGAATAACAGAATAACCAAATGAAGCCTGCAGAGTACGTGATATTCTAGTAGGAATCAGACAATAGCACAGTTTTGGCTGTGTCTGGGTAGTGCATTTCCTAAACAAGGGCCACGCCTGGCGAGCTTGAAATGTGTTTATCTCTTTGAATGACAGGGCTTAGGGGGTATCAGACAGCAAAGATTGCCCACAACTGGCCCAAACAGACAGCTTTGACAGGACTGACAATGGACAACAGTGGGCACCTGGTGTGACCTTGTATTGGCAAGTTGCAACGGCCTGAAAGTAAGAACCAATGACTCGATTCAATCCAATCAGTGGCAAATACTCAAATTCAGACAATAGCAGGCGTCCAACAAAAATGAGGAGAGCAACTTGTTATTGCCAACAACCCAACAAAAACTTGCAGAATGGCATGCGATGCATAATATGGTGTTGACCCTTGAACCTTGGGATCTTGCTGTCAGAATTGTGAGTTGTGCCTACAAGCTGTGAAGGCCTGCCCCAACCCCCTGCTAAACATCACTGACACACAAAGGAAACATGAGCTCAACACCTGCCTGCATAATCTTCAGGCCATATTCAAAGGGCTTGATGCCCAGCTTAGCCAGCAGAGTTGCCTCAGAACCGCCAACCTTGGTACCCTCTTGGACCAGATGAACCTGGTTCAAAATCTCGATTGTGCCCCTGTTGATCTTGGTGGCAATTCCCAGAGCCTGTAGATCACACACCCTCACAATAAGCAGCATGTGGGTACACATGTCAGCAAGCACCAAACCCCTACACAAAAAACTGAGCCCCAGATGTGTTCCAACAAAGCTTTCAAGATGCAGCACTTGTCTTGTGTGAACAGAAGGATCCTTACACACAACAGGGACAGAAATGGTAGTATTGTCACACTTCCTGCCCTGTATCAACACATGTGCATGTGGATCAGGCAATGCAAAACCTACCTGGAAAAAGGAAGTCTGGGAGGGATCCATGCCAGTGCCTCCAGGGGGCACGAACACGTCACATGGTGCAATGGCTCCAACTCGGGCAGGCGCGCCCACAACGAACTTTTTCAGCTCAGCCTTGATTTCATTGAGATCGCTCTTTGTGAACAACAGGCCCACATTTCCCTGCAGGTGGTCGAGAACTGCTTCCCAGGACTTGTTTCCTGAGCGTTCACAGTACAGTCGAATCGATCTCTTCATCATCGTGTTCTTCCCCATCAGTATGACGCTGTTGGGTCGAAGACCCTTTGCACAAAGACAGGACAGACAACTTGAGCAAAAAAATTTCCACAGTTCTGTCTGCCTGCCCAAGGCACCCACCTCCATCTTAGGCCAAAATCAGCACAGCACAACAATTCGTCTAGAAGCAATACAAAGCCACCAGACACTGCACAACAGCTCACACCAAAGCATCGTGGTGTGTTGTGCAGAAAAAACTAAAACCTTGAATCCTAACACTGTCCGTCCATCGCCACGTAACATGCACAGGGCAAGTGGAATGCAAGGCAAAAGAGATCTTCAACACGACAATTCATTGGATTTCCACCGTCAACTTGGGAATTGATCTCAGAAACGAACTGCCTGCATTGCATCGAGGCGCAATTGACTGGTAATTGGCATGGTGTTCCTGGGTTCTTCTGGCAATGCGATCAACCCTGGGTTGGAAACGACGGCCCAAAGAAAGTTGTCCACCCTGCGGTACATGGACAAGTCCTGCAAACCCGCAATGAAAAATGCCCAGGAAAGATGTGCCGTGACTTCTCCACCTTCGCTGCGCACATTCTTAGAATTTCCCTTGATCTCTTTCAGCAAGTTCAAGCCACCAAGGTCCGAAAACCGGGACGCACATGCCTGACTTTTCGCTTGGGCAGCACCAAAACGCGGTTGTTTGGAGCGGATCAGAACAACAAGGAACCAGCCCTCGAATATGACCACTTTGCCGTCAACAGGCTTCAGAATCAGTACCAGTCCAGAGCACTGTCGAGACCCACCCTGCGAATGTCCATGAACTGCTTGGATCCCACATTGTCCGCGTGCACAATGAAGCACTTGTCGTACTCATCGAGGAACTCGCAGAGGCGCGCATGATACTGCAGAACGACACATGCGGCGTCAGAAGAGGGTCGCAACGCGGATCCTCCATGTCTCAAACGGAGACCATCAGCGTTCGCCGCCGTGCCTGTTCCTTCTTGTCCCTCTTGGCCATGTTTGCTGCGACTGGGGAATCGACAGGACCACGCCGGATACTCGCCGGCAGGCAACTTTAACCCTGATTCCTTGCGCACTCCGCAGCTGTCTTTGTGCCAGGCCCGCGCCGCCAGAGGCAAATGTAGCTGCCACAGTTGCCAATTGCAATCGATTTTTTTTCGTTTATTTTTTTCCATGTATTTTAAAGGCCACCCCCGTGTTGTTCGCGAATTCTCTGCAAGGACATTACACCACACGGCTCAACCATATCACATTCAGTACTGATGAGAGGACTTGGGTATGAACGTAAGGGAATGCGCTATGTCAATTTTGTTACGCTTAGCGTCAATTTCACGTTAAGCTCAGATCCCTCCCCTCCTTAGCGTCAATCCTTATGTCGAAGCCAGGGTGACTCAACAACGTTACCTAATAGTGGAGCACAATTTCAAGACATTTTTTAAAAGGAAAAATGCTCAGATTTGTGCAAATTCGGGTGGGCTTCAAAATGGAATTTTGAATGACATTAAGGCAAAGCAAGCAACCTTGACGACTGTAAATTCACACATTCTAAGGACCTCTTGGAAGAATGAACATTCAGAGAGGTTTAAGAGCAAGCCATGAGTGTTTTGCTGCTGATCAGCACCTTTTGTTAAGCACCTTATGTCGATTTTGTTGCAATTATATAATATCTTAGCGTCACAGGACTGGACCCCCCCGCAAAAAACGGAAAGCGTCAAATTGACGTTGTTTTGAAGGAAAGGCCGTTGATGCGATTCAAACAGCCCCCTTTGGAGTACACACGGGAAGCGCGAATCCACGATCGCCGATGCTTCAACGGGTTGGCACACAGCTAGATGCAAGGCCACACCATACACAAAACGCTCGGGGCTTACATATTTGTTCACACTTCCCACAATGAAGAGCCTCGTCGACAGTGGCAACGACCCCCGCAACCAAACAATTCGAATCTCTTTGCACCCATAGAACTCTTCTTTTCACATGACAACGACCACCATCCATCAACAACTAGAAATACGACACTTTAAAGATGCCTACTCATCGCCACAATGCAACCCATTGCGTAAAACATATGCCAAAGTTGCTCATACACTCACTGGCAATGTATAAGTGCTTCAATTGTGAGCACAAACCCAACCATAGCATTTGTCTCTGAATCAGATGGCATGTTCCACAACAATCAAATTGATGCTCACAAAATTCCCATCACAGAAGAAATAATTCTGTGAATTCAAAAACGCATTTTTTTCTTTCTATAAATTCAGAATGCCTTGCATATAAACAATATTCTTGAAGTGCATACAAGTCGCACACCATAATGCATATGTGATCCACCCAGTGAAACGGTGGTCATTATGCAGTGTTGCGAACAGCTGTGCATAACAAAATCGACAAAGTGTCTTCCCCAAGTTCAACATCGCGTCAGCGACATGTTGTGTGTGTCAGTATGAGGCAATGCCGCGAAGAAAGCCGTCCAATGTAGACTTGTGAGCCGTGAGGCCATCGTATGCTGCTCTCAATATTTCAGCTTAAGAGTCACTCAATACAAGCCTACAAACCCCTGGATGCATTGGACTGCAGTGTCTTGTGCTCACTGGCGGATTTTAGTACAAACTGAGAATTAATCCTTGATGGCTGCATTGATCTAATATCGCTCTGTTGAATGGCCATTATGTGTGACTGCCTGTTAAGGCCGATGAGTCACGGCCACGTGTATACACTCTAGAGAATGTGTCCAATCCAGATCCCCAAACAAAGGGATCCTAAAGACACACAACAACCTGTTACAATTCCAGCTGCAAATGCACAAGCCAGCTGAAAATGGATTGGGCTGGTAATTGGACCAGCAATTACACCCGTCACAGGCTGTGACGTGACGGGTACGGTGTTCCTTTCCTGCCTGACCTGGCTACGCCGTATGCGCTCAGAATTCCACAGAAAACTGAGTTGTCCCTTAATGCGGGCAATCTCCCTGGCTATGCCAGCCAGCTGCAACCCTTCACCCCGCATAAACGACAGCAGATCACACCAACACTGATTGCACACCTTCAGAAGTGATCTAACAAGACGTGCGGTGAGGATGTGACTGCAAACGAATAGGTTTATACTGAGCAGCGTCAGGAACAGACCACCTGCAGCCTTCCAGAATTTCAACAACTGGTTGAAGTCAATGAACTTGTCCAGCCATTCCTTCGGGCTGGTACCTTGTCTATGTGCAGTGCCTAAAGACACCAGAACATCATCACCGTATATCTTAATGTCCAGTTTTTCTGTCACTTAAGATAAAAGCGTAATGCTTTTCAGTCGAGCTAGTTCTCGAAGACTTTCTCAGACAGTTCTTTCCAGCTCTTCCGCAGCTGGCAAGCCTGGCCCCTTGTCAATGATTGTCTTTGATCTTCCTGTATGTTTTTCTGCAGGTTATCTTTCACAGGAGCAGGAGGGCACACTACAGTACTGGGCTTAGAGGCGGGCGTCAGCACTAGGGGAGTACTGCTGGATTCGACAGCGTTTTTTTCAACTTGACTCATGCCTCTTGGTCTTTCATTGGTCAGGATCCAAGTGACAATGAGTGGGGCATTTGTATGTTCTCAATTCTGTAACGAACTCACACTTTCACCAGCCTTTGCCTCCTTCCAGTACTGGACCTCACTGAGGCAGTACTTTGTCAGCTGCGAGCTGGCCTTGATTAAGCGCGGAATCCACTCAACTTTCCCTTATCTTAACTACTTACCTTCCTGTCTATTCACTTTCAGCCGCTTCAGGTTCAATCGAATGTAGATTAGTTTGCAGCTCAACGAACTTTCACTTCTAATCACCTTTAGTCACCTCCAAAATACAGCAGCTGTCTTGGGAGCACAGCTCAAGGTTGTAAACGCCCAGCCGTATTGTATACTTTAGTAATGCGTGATTGTACTGTAAGATAACTATAGCTCAACACCCCAGATTTCTCTGAGGGTGTTTTTCTGGGGCCCCGTAGGCTTCCCAGTCTATTACGTTATGTGCAATTACTATTAAAGTGCGCTTGGGGCCCCGCAGGCGTTCCCAATAGGACACACTAAAAATAGCAACACTCTAGACGCGCTTGGGGCCCCGCAAGCGTTCCCAATAGGACACGTTTTGAGTGTATTAAAGCACTGACGTAATGGAGCCTTTTGTTACTCACAGCTCGCCCACACACACTCACACACACACACCGAACAACCCTCCACGGGTTGTGACCTGCACTCAAATTTTGACGAATTAAATGCTTATTACAAGAAATGTCCTGGTTGGTCCCTTGGGACCACCAACTGGTCAGTTCGGCTGGCGACAATAGGGGCGCCGCTCCCCTATTTATAGTCCGAGTGGTTGTACCTCTTCTAAGAATATTCTAGGAATATTCCCTGGAATATTCCTTCCCTCAAACGGATCACAAAACATCACACAATTCAGTTGGCTCCATCCCTTTTCACCGTTCAGATCAACATACTCAAATGAAATCCCTTTACTTAACAATCTAGGGTCTATTGGCTCACCAATTGAGCGCAACTTCACCCTAGTTGCCTAGATTCCCCCAACTACTCGAATATTCCCTCCAGATCACTTTGAAACACGAACAAAGTACTGTAGCTCAGTCACACTTTACGGTTCAGCTCACTAGTATCATCTTACTGAGCCACCCAACCACCAAAAGGCTCTATTGGCTCAAAGACCCCTCACAACATTCTTTATTAAGTACAGAGCGCCGATTACTAACCCTTTTCAGTCAACCTTTATGATTGGCATCTTGCAAGGGAATGGTCCTGCCACTTCCCCCCAGTTTCCAGCCCCTCATGTCCTCCGCACGAATGTCCATTCTTCGTCCATTACTTTTCCGCATGCCGGGTAGCTTCCTCCGTCGACGATGACAAACGCGGTGTCGTCATCGGCGTCCTGCATCTCGACCTCCTGCACCCCGCCAGGGTGCCCCTCCGCCGCTCCCGTCGTACTCCCCGCCTCGCCGTCCGCCAACGCCTCGCCTCCCGCGTCCGGGG